GTGCTCTTCTTTCTGAGTCACATCTCTACTTTGGTATCTGAGTGCTATGTGGAGGGGTGGGCAGTAGGCATAGGTCTCCTTGCTTTCCTCCCCCAGCAGGAAACCTCACACTTACTAGGTGGGTCATGGTTAAGTGGCACCCCAGTATTCGCAACACTGCTGTGCCCAAGGTAGAGCTCATGCTTCACAAGTGGGGGCGGGTTGGTAGAAGGGAGCCCCTACCTCCTGGACACATTTGGCCAGAACTTAGCTGCAGCAACAGGTAGAAGAGGGCAGGATGAGAAATGTTTACATCCTGCTCCTCCCAGAAAAATAACTCTCTGGCTGAGAGCTGGGGTAGGGGCAAGAGGGAGGGAGCCTGCATTCTTGGCTGCAGTTTGGGAGTTGGTGGGAGCAGTCAGAGGAAGTCGGCCTCTCAGAGTTGGTTGAGTAAAGGGAGACAGTGGGTGTTCATTCAAATACCACAGACCCTAGGCTCAGTTTTCAGTGAATTTTTGTAGATTTTCTTGAATATGTATTTCTTCTTTTTCTGTATGCCCTATAACAATGTCCAGCATTTGTGTGTGTGTGAGTGGGTGTGTGTGTGGTTTTCACCAGTTTTGGTATGAACAGTGTCTGAAGAGTTACTCATGCTATTATGCTGGGAATGGAATGCTGGTAATGATGGAGCATTGTTAAACTTACCAAGCAATTCTTCTCAGGAATGTAACTGAAGTACCGTGCCTTCTACTTTGTGTGTGGCAATGGCACATCCCTTTTTGTGAGTTCCTTTTTATATATAGTATGTCTTGAATAAGTGCACCTTGTGTATGTCTTGAATGATTGTGCTTGATGAATCTCCTCCAAGGAGGACATCTTCATTGTAATGTCATAACTGCTCCTGGATATGGTTGGATATGGTGATGGTCTTCCTGGCAGTGATTGTGGGCCAGGATATTAAGGTTCCCCACAGTGAGCCAGTTACAGGTGATTTATGGCCTTTTAAAGATAAAAATAAAGGGAAACTGACTGAGATCCTATTGAAATAGGCCTTGAATGGAGCATATTTGCAAATCTGTGGTTGCAAAATATTAGTTAGTTAGTATTCAAATGTAGTAAGCAATTTTTAATAACCATGGGTATGAGGTTCTAAATGTGATGGATCCTGGCATTAAGGCTATAGTAAAATGTTGTGAGGCATCATTAATTCTTGCTAGGTTTAAAAATAGTCCAATGTGGGCTTTTAAAGGGAGAAAGAATGGAGAGAATCAACCCTTTTCTAAATAGATCTTTCATAATGGAGTTTAATCCTTAGAGGCCCTGTTTTAATCTATTTTGGACAGTGTTAATAATTTTAATATGTTGAAGCAGATCCACAGCATCTCTTTTTGTTAAGCCAATTCTAAGTGCCAAAGAAATAATTTTATGTTAGTTTTTTAATTGTTAGATAGGAGTAGCCATGCCCAGAATGGAATGGAATATTTTAGGAAATGAGTCTTAAGACTATGGAGTACTGATATGGTTTGGCTGTGTCCCCACCCAAATCTTATCTTGAATTCCCACGTGTTGTGGGATGGACCTGGTGGGAGGTAACTGAATCATGGAGACAGTTCCTGTGCTGTTCTTGTGATAGGGAATAAGTCTCATGAGATTTGATGGCTTTTTTCTTTTTCTTTTTTTTTTTTTTTGAGATGGAATCTCGCTCTGTCACCAGGCTGGAGTGCAGTGGCGCTATCTCAGATCACTGCAACCTCCGCCTCTCAGGTTCAAGTGATTCTCCTGCCTCAGCCTCCTGAGTAGCTGGGACTACAGGTGCATGCCACCATGCCTGGCTAATTTTTTTGTATTTTTAGTAGAGGCAGGGTTTCACTATATTAGCCAGGATGGTCTTGATCTCCTGACCTCATGATCCACCTGCCTCAGCCTCCCAAAGTGCTGGGATTACAGGCATGAGCCACCATGCCCAGCTGAGATATGATGGTTTTATAAGGGAGAGTTTCCCTGCGCAAGTTCTCTCTCTCTTTGCCTGCTGCTACCCATGTAAGGCATGACTTGCTCCTCCTTGCCTTCTGCCATGATTGTGAGGTCTCCTCTGTCGTGTGGAACTGTAAGTCTATTACATCCTTTTTCCTGTATAAATTACCCAGTTTCAAGTAGGTCTATTGGGAGAACCCGCTCCCGATGTTTAACATGGGTTCTTTTCTATTTCCCAAGTGTCTCGGCTGGGTGAGAAATAAAGGAAAAGAGCACAAGAGAGAGAAATTTAAAGCTGGGTGTCTGGGAGAGACATCACATGTCGGCAAGATCCGTGATGTTCCCCGAGCCGTAAAACCACGAAGTTTTTATTAGCGATTTTCAAAAGGGGAGGGAGTGCATGAACAGGGTGTGGGTCACAGAGATCACATACTTCACAAGGTAATAGAATGTCACAAAGCAAATGGAGGCAGGGCGAGATAACAGGGCCACCGGATGAGGTAAAATTAAAATTGCTAATGAAGTTTTGGGCACACATTGTCTTTGATAACCTCTTATCAGGAAACAGGGTTTGAGAGCAGATAACCTGTCTGACTAAAATTTATTAGGTGGGAATTTTTGTCCACCGGATAAGCCTAGGAGCACTACAGGAGATCGGGGCTTACTTCATCCCATCGGCTTCGACCATAAAAGACGTCCCGCCTTAAAAAGGGGCCGTCTATAGGCCTACCTTCAGGGCGTATTCTCTTTCTCAGGGATGTTCCTTGCTGAGAAAAAGAATTCAGCGATATTTCTCCTATTTGCTTATGAAAGAGGAGGAATATAGCTCTGTTTTCGTCCAGCTCACCGGCGGCCAGTTCAAAGTTACCTCTCTTGTTCCCTGAACATCGCTGTTATCCTGTTCTTTTTTAAAGATGCCCAAATTTCATTCAAACACACATGCTCTACAAACAATTTGTGCAGTTGACACAATCACAGGGTCCTGAGGCAACATTCATCCTCCTCAGTTTACAAAGAAGATGACGGGATTAAGAGATTAAAGACAGGCATAGGAAATCACAAGGATATTCACTGGGGAAGTGATAAGTGTCCATGAAATCTTCACAATTTATGTTCAGAGATTACAGTAAAGACAGGGGTAAGAAATTATAAAAGTATTAATTTGGGGAACTAATAAATGTCCATGAAATCTTCACAATTTATGTTCTTCTGCCGCGGCTTCAGCCGGTCCCTCCGTTCGGGGTCCCTGACTTCCCGCCACATAGGTCTTTATCAGTAGCATAAAAACAGACTAACACAGGTATTTGGTACCAATGCTTAAGATGGGGCATATATATTTGCCCTCTATATTATATTGGATAACTCCTTAAGAGTACAGAAGATGATATTACTTAAATTTAGTGAAATATTCTGATATACCTGTAACTTTTGCCCCATTGTTGATTAAGGTTATTATGGTTTGCATGGGTGTATTCGATCTGATGTTAATCTAGAACTTATAATGTAGAGAGAAAACAGCCAATCAGTGTCCTTTAATTTTTCTGTAAAAATAAATGTTAGATTTCCAAAAGGTTAAGTTGTAGACCTTTGTTTTAGTTTTTGTTCTTGCATCCCACCTGTCCCCCTCCCCACCCCTTCTGGCTAACCTAATTCTCTCTTTCTCTTTTTGGTTGTTATCAGGTGTACTTTTGTGGTGGTGGGTGGGTGTCGTTTCTAACATGCTCATCTTTGTAAGTTTCTTTCTGAGAGAGTTCCAGTGAGTATCAGCAAGGTTAGAGACCTTCTTTCTGGTAATTTTGAGAGACCCAAGGCTTAAATTGGGTTTGAAAGTACTCTTTGGCTGTACAGTGTTGTCATGGGTGCTTTTCCTGATAACTCTGTTCATCTGGAGCATTTTTAGCTATAGAGATATAATCAGCAATACAAGCAAATACATTTTCTGAGGTCCCAGTGGACCATCTATTTTTAGGATTGTGGATGTGAGCATGCCATGCAATGACTGCTATTCTTCACACCATTTGGTGGGATCATATATTGCACTGATGTCAGTCTTAACCCTGAGTGCTCTTTACAATGATGTGTGTGTGGGAGGTAATATCTGATTGGGACACATAACCAGTGCTCATAGGGTAAGAGTTACTCAACTGATCTAGTGTCAGCCACAGCTCGTGCTGTAATTGAGAAACACAATTCCACCTGAGTCATACAGATAGCTTTGGTTTGAGACACATCACCCAGAGCTACTGAAAAGAGGGTCCCAATTTGTCATTCCTGTCTCACAATGCAAATTATTGAAACTTCTGATTGAAACTTGAATTGAGGTGAGGATTTTCCCACTTTGGCCTGGCTTGCTTGGTTTGAAGTTCTCATTAGTAACAAGGGAGAATGAGTTGAAGTTTTCTTCTTAGTTTGCCCAGATGAGACACAGAAAGTGAAGTAGGAGCTGAGGCTGGAAAGGAGTCAGCAGTCGAACTCCAAGAATGGAGTCAGACTTCTTATTACACATGGGTGATGGGGGAGGGGTGGGACTGGTAAATATAGTGAAGGGAACTACCATTTTTAAATTTTGCCCTTTAGAACTTTTTGACTTAATAAAAACCTATTTGTAGGTATCATTTTAAATAATGAAAATGAATTTTTCTGAAAGAGAAAAGAGTATGGGCTCTGAAATCAATCTGACCTATATTTAAAAACAAGCCCTACAGGTCATTATGTGTGCAAAGGAGACAAATTACCTCACACTGAATTACTCTCTATTGTCTCATCTATAAGTGTAATAGCTGTTCCTTTAAATAAAAACTTTAAGTGGAAACTTTTATAACTTTAAATTGAATAAAAGTGCCTGGATAATGATAAAGTCTCAACATTATCAGGTTGTGCAATAGAATGAATGAAAAAGAAAAACAAAACCAAATCAACATAAAACTTTAAAAGTAAACATTTCCATAAATGTAAAATTAATAGAATAAAACTTTAATATCATCATGCTAATGTTAATCCATGTTGTATGATATATTTACCTTTTTAACCAATTGGTATTTTCTTAGATATTAAAGAGGAGGAAAAATCATACCAAGTTATCAGGTGGTTTTTACCTGAAGATAATCAAAAAAGAATTACGAAGCATTTCAATAGCTACATAGAAACAGCATTGGATGGCAGGTAACTTCTTTTTATTCTATGAAGCAAAGAGTCACTATTTTAGTAATACAAATGAATAGAGAGATGCATCATATTTGGAGTGAGTTTTAGAGAAATGGATGGGTGGGTGATGGATAGATGGAGGAATAGATGATATGTGAGTGGATGAATGGATAGATGGATGAATGGTTGGATAAATGAGGGGATGGAGAAATAGAGGACAGGTGGGTGGTCAGGTGGATAGAGTAGACAAGGTTTGCATTCCCAACAATTGAGTCTATATTGTCCTTCTTCTACCATAAAGATTCTATAGAAAGCAGGAGATTGCTCCTCTGAGCCTTCCTTACAACACTTCATGTATAATCTTTGTATGCATTCTCCCCAATAAAGAAGCTAGGATCTTCAACTCTTTTGTTTGTCAAGAAAAAAGAAACACCTATTCTCACTTATTTTCCCTCCTTTGTCCTTTCATAAATTCACCAGTGGAGAAAACTCTTATGAATATTGATTTTTCACACCTTGAACCTTCACCTTTTAAACTCCTTAAAGATAATCAAATACCTGGATCGTACACAATGAGAGATGAGCCTGAGACTTTTTGACCTCACCTGGAATACAAGGAATCTCCTTCATCTGCCACATAAAAGAGGAGAAACACAAATCCATGCCATTCTTAGTTAATTATAGTGGCTTCATCCTCTTTGCTTTCCTTGAAAATTCTACTCAGTAGTCAAGGTGGTGCTCAAATCTAATTATTCCATAAAGCTTGCTTCCTCACTCAAGCTGGAAGACCACATGCTCTCCTCCATAGATCTGGTATATAGCACTCATTTGATACTTAGTCTATGGCATCTTGTGTTGTTATATATTTTTAAAGTGTATGTCTTGTCTCTTTTCTTCCAGCTTGATTTCTTTGAAGACAGGTTCCAGATACATGTTAAATATTGACTAAGTTACTGGGATCAGTGCCTTCCTGTGATTTTTTTCAATTTATTTACTTGAAATATGATTAATGTTATACTTTTGAGAAGTTTATACTGTATACATTGAATTTATCCACAATATTTAAAAATCATTCTTTATGTAAAATCTTTTAAAAAATGAAATAGTGGATAATTTCAGAGAATCATCATTGTTGTAATTTAAAGTTGATTCTTAAGAACAGGCAGAGATCTGCATGTCACTCATGAGTTCTAAACCTGTAGGCCTTCTTTATGTGAAGTGACAGGCTTGCTGGGCTATTGCTTCTTCCTTTCTTTATGTGATTAGGAGGTCTGTGGTCTCCAGAGCACCTGTACCTATTACCACTGCTCAGGAACTTCTTCATCTATTCTTCTGGATTCTATACAAACAGGATCATTTTCTATGCAAGCAATGATGGGAAGACATTGAAGGGCAGTAGCTTCTGGAATAGTGACATAGGCAAGAGTCTTAACTAGGTGTCAGTAAAACTTTAGCATTATTTTATATGAATGTTCCAGCCAGCATGAAGTGAAAAGACTGATAATAAACTTCAAACCAGGCTTTCATTTTTATTTGTTTTTTACTACTTAACTCCTAGGCTAGGAAGACGAATCTCATTTCAGCTGAGATTTTGGATTCTAATATTGTGATCAAAAAGTTCACTGCACGAGACAATCTGTCAAATGCAAGATACACAGTATTTTTTAAAAAGACTACGTCATCAATAGTTAAGGAGCCTGTCAAATTACTTACATAGATTTCTGGAGAAAAGATAGTCACTCACAAAAAGTCAGCATATAAATGAGGGTTAACAGAGCATCACAGGATTTATAAAGGAGACATAGAACTCTGAGGCCTGCTATAGTCAGAGTTGGCTCCCAGAGTAGAAGGACGTTGAATTGGCATTGATGGTGGGTGGGAATTGGGTCAGGGGAGGAAATAGGATGGGAGCAAGTGGGGACATTTTAGAGAGCAGAAGTATCTGGACCAGAGTGACCAGAGCTGAGAGTATTTGTTGAAACATTGTAGAATGGGTGGATGGATACTGGTTATATTCTTACATACCTGAAATATTTTTTTGAGTCCAACATTCTCCCAAATACTGTAAAATTATACTTTCCCAAATATTTACTATTTATTTTCTTTATTACAGAGACGAATTTGAAGGCCTTCTAAAGTTAATGGAAATATTTGGGATTCAATGTAGTTATTTGCTAAGCAGAAAGGATATAATGGATTCCTTAAAGAATGAGAACTTTGATCTGGTATTTGTTGAAGCATTTGATTTCTGTTCTTTCCTGATTGCTGAGAAGCTTGTGAAACCATTTGTGGCCATTCTTCCCACCAGATTTGGCTCTTTGGAATTTGGGCTACCAAGCCCCTTGTCTTATGTTCCAGTATTCCATTCCTTGTTGACTGATCACATGGACTTCTGGGGCCGAGTGAAGAATTTTCTGATGTTCTTTAGTTTCTCCAGAAGCCAATGGGACTTGCTGTCTACATTTGACAACACCATCAAGGAGCATTTCCCAGAAGGCTCTAGGCCAGTTTTGTCTCATCTTCTACTGAAAGCAGAGTTGTGGTTTGTTAACTCTGATTTTGCCTTTGATTTTGCCCGGCCCCTGCTTCCCAACACTGTTTATGTTGGAGGCTTGATGGAAAAACCTATTAAACCAGTACCACAAGTAAGTAAACCCTCAGCATTCAGTTTGGGATTCACATAGAGTCCTTGGGTGCATAGTTGGTGGCTGCCACCTGCCAGTGGATTCCTGAAGTTGAAGTAGGGATTGGCAAGGGAGGCACCTAGCGTACGTTCTTAAAGGAAGTGCTGACTTTCAGCATTTGGCAAGTACAGTGTCAGGTCTTGCAGGATCCTGAGATAGAAGATTTCCTTAAATTGGCTCTTCTCTTGCCATGCCCTGGACTTAGAATCAGTGAGATGAACCCTTCAATTAAAGTTGCCATTTTAATTTTTATTTTGTGTGATTATGTGTAAAATAAATATGTAGTTAGTGCCGATTACATGCAATAATAGTTAAGGAGATGAGCTACTCACAGTGAAACAGACAACACTGTGGATTCGGAGTAAGCAGGGTGGGACTGCATGGGACTGACAGCAAGAACTGACAGTGGTATCTCCAGTGTTCCCTGCCTGTAGAGCCCTGGCTCCTGGCTCCACCTAGACTTTCTGACTTGATTTGTCTGGAGTGGGCCCCTGCTATTGTAATTTGTAAATGCTGCCGGGTGATTCAAATGCACAGTGCAGACTCAGAACCACTGCTATAGAAGGTTTTCAAAGGGAAGAGAACTCAAATGAGTTGGCTGCCTGTTGCCTCTGAGCACTGGGTTCCCATTTTACAGAAATCATCATATTTAGTATCTTGCCCTCTATAGGGAGGTGTGGTCATCTTCATTTTTATTGATGGAGGAGGACAGAAGCACAGGTGATGTAGGTGACCTTCCCACCACTGTGTAGTGCAGAGGCCCCCGAGACCCTGGATTGGGCCTGGACTTTCCAGGTACCAAAGTGACTATTCTTCCTCTCCTGATCTTATATTGAGTAAGCAGGAAGAGTTGGGGAATGATCTATGGATGAGATGGGCTTTGCATTAGTGGTAGGTGTATTTAGGAATGGAGCTGGGAGGGAAAACACCCCAGGTCAGAGAGCAGGGGACCTAACGTGTGGAGGTGCAAGTGAGATGGCCATAACACTGGGTTCTCTGGGTGACGCTGGCTAGATTAGTGTAGTAGAAGATTCGTTTGCATTAATAAAACCATGGGGATTTAGCCGAGGTCTTAGCTACTGGGAGGGTGGGTCAGGTCTTGGCATTGGGGCAGTTGTGGAAATTGTTAAGAAGAGAATAAAGGGAGTTGAGATTATGAGATAACAGATGCTTATTTTCAAATATTTTTTCTCTTTTTGATTATTTTAATTGCAGTCAAATATATATAATATAAAATATACCACTTTAACCATTTTTAAGGGTATGCTTCAGTGGCATTGAGTACACTTATATTGTTGTGTAACTATCATTACCATCTGTCTCCAGAACTTTTTTTTTATCTTCCCAAATTGAAACTTCCTGTGGATTAAACAATATGTTAAATAGAATGAGCATTTGACTCAGCCGTCAAAGATGCGATTCAGAATAAAGTGGTTTCCATTTTTTCTTAGAGGTGCCATACCCACCCCACATTCCAACAACTACATGCATGAGCAGTGCACAGCACCTCCCCTCTTATCCCCTACCTTCCCACCTCGGTACCTGGCTGTGTCCACAGCATGAACAAGCCATTCCCAACAGCTACAAGGGGTGGGAAAAAAGTGGGACTGCCATTGTGGCCCCATGAACCAGCTGGCCAGAGCCTCCCAGTGGGACTTTTTCTCCCCTGGCCAAGGAGTTCAGCCTGGCCTGAACTGGGGGAAGGCTATAGTGATTAAAGGAACCTATTTGCACAGAGCAAGAGGTTCTTTCTCCAGGACCTCCCCCTTTTGCCCCTTAAGCTATGTTTTTCTTTCTTTATTTTTTTCGTTTTCTAAGCGAGAGGGTTCCTTTTCCTAGTACGCTGCTTCTGATAGAGAAAATAATGGAGGAGCGACCCCTGCTGGCTGATAACTGCAAATTCGGCAGGGCCCATTTGAGACAATCTGAACAGACACGTGCAACCCCTGAAATCTGTTTTTGTCCCAAACTCAATTCCAGGTTTCAGGCTGAGGCCCTAGAAAGGAAAACCTGATTTGAGGGATCAAAAGTCAGGCAACAGGCACAATGTAAATGGGCAGGACCAATTCCTGCTGACTAAACCCCCACTTCATGGAGGGAGGCTATGCTCCATGGCATAAATGAGGCCCAGGGAACTCAAAGGTTTTCAACAGCAGGGGAAATAGAGGCATAGGTGAGGGGAGATAATTCCTATTCTCTAGTCCCACCCTGCTTCATGGGTGCAGACCACAATGGCACCTGTGGGTGGCATCCATGAGGTTGCCAGGACTCAGGGACAACAGATGGAAGAGAAAGTCCCTTGCTTTCTCTCTCCTTCACACCCTGAGTTTTCATTGAAAGAAGGAAGGGAAATGAGGGATACCTCTATTTCCCTGTCTTTCAGAATGGGCCCCTAGCTCTCTTCACCACCCCCAGCTTATTCTCCTCTGGAGTGTATCTTGAACCACTGAGACTGCTTTGACCCTCAGAATCTGGAGGAAAAACACCTCATAGCCCTCAAAACAAAGGTTTGGCCAAATTATGAAGGACTGACTTGGTCTCAGGAAGGAACCATTCATTTTGATACCATCTGGCAGCTGGACCTTTTCTGTAGACGTGAGGACAAATAGTCTGAGGCCCCATATGTGCAGGTTTTCTATACCTTGCAGGGAAATCTAGACCCTTGCTGACTGTAGGATTGATCCAGCCCTCCTGCTTGTCATTTCAGGAGAGGCTGCAAAGGGCAATTCCAGGGAACTAAAGAAACAAATCCCAGAGGCACTCCCAACAGGGGAGCCAGCTCCCTCCAGCTCTGCTCCTCTGGGTCCACCTCAACCTCCCTGTCCAGCTTCAATCTCTCGCTTGCCTAATCCTAGAAATCCTCACCCTAGACAAGCCCCAGTCTCACTCCTGCCCTTCCAATAGATGCCTGGTGAATTTGGCCCCAGTAAGGTCCAGGTCCCCTTCCCCCTACAGGACTTAAAGTAAATTAAGGGGGATTTTGGGAAGTTTTCGCATGACCCTGACAGATATATAGAGGCTTTCCAGAATTTAACCCAAGTATTTGAACTCTCTTGGAGAGATGTTGTATTACTTTTGAATCAGATCCTGATGGAACACTGAGAAGCAGTCTGCTCTGCAAGTAGCTGAGAGATTTGGGGATGAACTTTGTTTCACATATAGTATCAGGAAAGGGGGCAAACTTTATCCAACTGGAAGAGACGCAGTACCAGTAAATGACCCTGGATGGGATCCCAGTGATGAGATGGGAGACTGGAAGAGAAGACACTTCCAGGTGTGCATCATGGAGGGATTAGGTGGGACTAGGACCAAGCCTCTTGATTATAGCAAGCTATCTATGATAGAACAAGGATTTAGTGAAAATCCCACTGCCTTCTTGGAGAGGCTAAGAGGGGCCTTGTTAAAGCACACCTCTGTGTCTTCTGGTTCAGTCAAGTGACAACTAATTCTGAAGAATAAATTTATTACTCAGGCAGCCCCTGATATGAGGAGGAAGTTGCAGAAATGGGCCTGGGACCAGATAGTACTTTAGAGGACTAACTGAAAGTGGCCACCTTGGCCTTTTACAATAGAGATGGGGGGACACAAGAAAGAGGCAAAAGCCTTAATGACCACCGTGCAAGCCCAGAAACCCCAGAATTCCCAGGGTACACTTGTTAACTGCTACAGATGTGGCAAGAACAGTTGTTTCTCTTCTAAAGTTGAACTGCTTCTATACAAGGTTTAATTTCTTCCACCAGGGTGAAACAGCTCAAAGCACAATGTTATCAATATTTTGACTTGTTATTTCTGTGATCTTTGGCACTAGATTATTTTCTTGTATAATACACATGTTTAACTCATGCATACTTAACCTTATAAAACTTGGTTTTTCCTCTCACCTAGAGGCCATCAAACTGCAAATGGTCAGGCAACCGGAGCCTCAGGGACAATGCCTCCCTTTTGCAAGGATCCTTAGATAAACCTCTGGGAGGAATCTGACTGCTGTTTTCTCCAAAACAATGCCCCCTGTCAGCAAAAATTAGCTAAGATTGGCCATCATTCATATTCTAATGGCAGTTAGATGTGCCTCTTCAGAGAGGGGAGTTGATACTGCTAGGAGACAGGGAAATACTGGGTAGAAGAGGGCAGTTCCTTGGCAAAGGTCCCACCTTCAAGCCTGGAAACCTCTGGCCCTAACTGAGAACATGCATTCCTGTTTTCACACAAAAAAGTTGCCTTTTGGCTCTCCACATGCCCCTGTCCTGTACCCATATAAACCTCAGACCTCAGGTTCCAGAAGCAGATGAAAAGTAGATGAACAGGAGAGCAGAAGAATGGCATAATGGTGTGGTAGAGAGAAGAGAAGGAGAATCTGAACACCAAGAGGAGTTCAGCTGGGGGTGATTGGAGAGGAAATTGGCCACTGGACGGCTGAACTCCAGGAAGACCATCTTCCCATTCCATCTCCTTTCCAGCTCCCCATCCATCCCACCTTCACCACTCAATAAAACCCCCACATTCACTACCCTCAAGTGCATGTGTGACCTGGTTCTTCCTGGATGCCTGAGAAGAACCTGGATACAAGAGAGCATTGAGCTGGTTAACACTTAAGCTGTCTGAGGATAGCAAAGCTAAAAGAGTGCACTGTAACACACACCATGCTCACTTGGGCTTTAGGAGTTGCAGGCACCCACCCTTATACATTGCTGTGGGGCTGGAGCCCCAAAGCACTCACCCAGGCTCCTGCACCTGCCCATCTGCATGCTCCCCCTACCATAAGGAGTTTGAGCAGCAGCGGAGGCTGCGGCCAAACTGACAAGCTACACCCTTGTCACATATCCTGCGAGGGAACTTTCCCATTTCGCTGTCATCAAAATTTATTTGACCATAATGCAAAAGTCTATTTCTGGGCTCTGTCTTCTATTCCACTGGTCCATGTGTCTATCTTTATGGCAGTACTACACTACTCGGATTACTGTAACTTTGTAATATGTTTTGAAATCAGCAAGTGTGAGAACTCCTTCTCTGCTCTTTTTCAATATTGTTTTGACTATTCAGGGTTCTTGATAGTTCTTATACATTTTAGAATGATTTTTCTGTTGCAAAAGAGGTTATTGGGATTTTGATAGGATTTGTATAGAATATGTACATCCCTTTGGATTGTACATATTTGACATCTTAATAAGTGTCCCAATTCATGAAGCCAGAATGCCTTTCCATTTTTTGTGTATGTCTTTAATTTCTTTCAGCAAAATTTTGATGTTTTCAATGTACAATCTTTCACCTCCTTGGTTAAGTTTATTTCATTCTTTCTGATGTTATTGTTGATGAAATTGCTTTCCTAATTTCTTTTTTGAATTGTTCATTGTTAATGTATAGAAATGCAGCTGACTTTAGAGACTTGATTTTTTTCCCTTCCATTTTGCTGAATTTGTTTATTAGTTCTAACAGATTTTTAATTTTTAGTATGTGTGTATATTATCTTTAAGGTTTTCAATATATAGAATCATGTTATCTGCCATTATTTCTTCAAATAGCCTTTCTTTCCCTTTCATTTTCTCTCATAGTGCATATATTGATCCACATGATGATGTCCTATTGTCCCTTACATTTTGTTCATTCTTTTTTCTTTTTCTTTCTCAGAGTTAACAATTTCAAATAATTTGTTTTCAAGTTCACTGATTATTTCTTTTGCCCGTTTGAGTTACCTATTGAAACTCTCCAGAAAAAAATTCAATTTGATTATTTCATATTTCAGCTCCAAAAATTTCCCCTTTTTAAATTTCTCTTTGTTGATATTCTAAATGTGTTTAAATATTGATTTTCTTCTTTACTTTAGTTTCTTCCATGTTTTCCATGAGCTCCTTGGGCATATTTAAGACAGTTTCTTTAAAAGTATTTGTGTAGTAAGTCCAATGTCTGTGTTTCTTCAGGGAGGGTTTCTGGAAATGTATTTTGTTTTTTAAAATTATGCGTTTTGACTATTTCTTTGCATGCCTTGTGATCTTTTGTTGAAAATTAGACATTTGAACAATTAGTTACTTCTGTCAGTCTTTGCAGTCTGACATGGAAGAGCATGTTTTGAGTGTTTTTATCAAGATTAAGGTCTTCTCAGGTGTTTTTTGGTTATGTGTCTCATCTGGACCTTTGTGTGTGTTTTTCTTCCCCCAGTTCCCTCTGTATGCTCAACTGTTTTTGAATGCCTTAATTTCCCAATGAACCTCGCCCAGACTCTTCTTGGACTTTAGATGTTCTATTATATTCTTCTGCCCATAACCTCTTGACCCAAACCTTCATAGGTCTGCAGTATCCCTGAAGCTTTCATACGTCTTGGTACCTACCACTGCTTTCTGTGGCTTCTGTCAGCTTGAAATCTGAGCTATGTCACCATTCCCAATGTGAGCTCTGAATCAGGTGAGACAAACCAGTCACTAAGTAGCCAACAGACAGGTTAGAATGTTGTACATAGTTTCTATTCTGTTCCTTCCAGCTGAGGGAGGGAATGCACAATTGAGCTTTTGCTTCTGGACTGTGGTCTGCCACTCCAGGGCAAAGGTAAATAAAATGGATTAGAAATTTATACTGTTTGAAAGTGGCTTTTTCTTGATTGGGCATTCAGTTGCTTGCTATGTATGTTTGACTGGTTTTCAAAACTCTATGGAGTTATTTGTGTCAGTCTCCAGTTGATTTTCAAATGTTTCCCTGAAAGAACAAGGGCATGCGGCTTCTGATTAACATTATTGCTCTGCTTCTTTTGATTTTATATTATGATTTTATAATTACAAGAACAACAAAGCTGTTTCCAGTTTGTTAATTGAAATGGTAGTTCAGGCAGTGTTATGCTGGATGGAATCAAGTTATCCCACAGAATGACCCAGTAGAATGAAGCGCTCAGAACTAGAGACAGTCACAAAAATGCTGAGAGAGGAAGAGTCTGAAGAAATGTTTGGAAGTAATAAATGATGAAACGGTGCTAAAGCTAAGTTTTAGGGCATTAGATCATAATCTTTCTTAAGAATTACCTGAGGACCAAAATAGGCTGGGTAGCTATGCAAATATCAGACAAAATAGAGTGTATGTCAAAAATATTTACAAGAGACAAAGACATTACATAATATAAAATTTTATGTTTGCAATAACATAATTATAAGTATCATTTAAAAATATATGAAATATCATCAACAATATATAAGAGCTATAAATATATATGCACCACACAACAGAGCACCAAAATATGTGAAACAATAATTGATGGAATTGAGGAAGAAATAGACATTACTACAGCAATAGCTTGGGACTTCAATACCCCATTTTTAGTAATGGAAAGATTATCTACACAACTGATCAATAAATAAATAGTTATCTTGAACACCATCATAAACCAACTGGACCTTATAAAAATTTAGAGAATACTCCCCCCAACAACAGCAGACTACACCTTCTTCTCAAATGCACACAGAATATTCCCAAGATAGTCCATATGTTAGGCTACAATATAAATCTCAATACATTTCAGAAGATTGAACTCATTAAAGCATTTTCTGTGATCACAATAGGATGAGCTAGACATCAATAACAGGAAAGAAACTTTAAAAAATCACAAATTTATAATTTATATGCAAAAAGTGTCCTCAGGTATCAGAAAAATAACTTCTAGGTCATCCAGACAGAATATGAGCACAGTGCAGAGGACACTGAGCTCTGCCAGGAGCCATAATAATAGCTTCAGGAGAGTGAAGACAAGGCACTGATGGGAGGGTGTGTTTAGTAAATAGACTGGGTTTCATTTCATGGCCACTTAGGCTTTCTCAAACAATTTTGTCACCTCCTTTCTTTTGTCATCTCTCTCTAGGACTTGGAGAACTTCATTGCCAACTTCGGGGATGCTGGGTTTGTCCTTGTGGCCTTTGGCTCTACATTGAACACCCAGCAGTCCCAGGAAGTCCTCAAGAAGATGCACAGTGCCTTTTCCCACCTCCCTCAAGGAGTGATATGGAAATGTCAGAGTTCTCATTGGCCCAAAGATGTTCGTTTAGCCACAAATGTGAAAATCGTGGACTGGCTTCCTCAGAGTGACCTCCTGGGTAAGGACTGCTGAGATCTGCTCTTCTCTTTCCATTGACCTGTCTTTGGGGCTCATTGGTGTTCTGACCTCTAGCTGGGCATTTGTACCAGCCTAGGAAGTAGCTAGTCATAGGTAAAGGTAACGCTCAGAGGGCAGGAAAAGAACAGCTAGCTGGAATTCTTTGGGAATCAGGCTGTACTTCAAAAGCGGTGAAAACAGTCATTTTCCCTTTTTCTTTCTAACCCGAGAGAGGCCTGAAGTTTCCAACCAGAGGTGATATGTGGTCATGTTCCCTTGACCCTACTACATTTGACACTGAAGAGTCACCCCAACACAATCTAAGACAATATGTAAACTCCAAGAGCACATATCTGGGGGTATGTTGCCCCTGTTCTGTGGCCTCCTGACTACCTGTTTAGCAATGAATGTGCCATTACACAAACGCACATGTATCTATATAAATACATCTTCTTTATCTACTAAGGAAGTGAAGGATTCATACACTCACAACATTGATTCCAACATTGTTTGAAGGATGTGCCACGATATTAGTGCCAAGGTGAGTAATCACATAGTCAAGTATTGAGTCATTTGGTAACAGAGTTCCTTACACTTCAATAGGTTTTATTGTCCTTGTGATAGTTTTTGGAGATTTCTCACTGACATCCTCAGTGACTGGATCAGAGGTTCATAACTAAGTTTATGGCTCAAAGTCAGCTTGGTAATTTAAGGTACAGATTTCTGTATATTTAACTTATAAGACATGGGGCAAGGAAAAATATTTTCATTTTCAAAGGAACACAAGTAGAATAGAATCCATGTTTCTGTTGAGAAACACAGATTTAACTCTACATTATCAAAAGTCACTAGCTTGCTCTAAATAATGGTGGGGCAGGCAGACAGGAACTAGAAATACGGAAGTAGAAGTGTATGGTTTATTATTCCTTACTTTCACAGCACTCTTCAAATGGAGAAAATAGCACATACAGTGTAGGTACTATGGAGGAACAGAGAGCAGGAAGTAAAGGGAGAGATGAGGTGAAGAGAGAAGGATGGCTGCGTGGATGGAGAAATATGCCTTGTTTATCATTCTTCTCTGCAGCTTTCCCTGCATTCAGATCCTTAGATGGGTTGGGGCTGAGGTGAGGAATCTCTACAGAAAGGGAGGCTGGAATCTTGTTTCCTGGAATGTGCACACTTAAGTGCACATTTCCCAAGCGAAATGAATGAATTCATTTTCTCAGCAGACCTTGATTTCATTGGTGTTTCCTCTGACTTTTCTGCTTTACCTGGTGTTCCAAAATTTTTCATCCTGAAGTGTTCCACTCTCTTTCTTATTTGCCACAGCTCACCCCAGCATCCGTCTTTTTGTCACTCATGGCGGGCAGAACAGCGTAATGGAGGCCATCCGGCATGGTGTGCCCATGGTGGGATTGCCAGTCAATGGAGACCAGCATGGAAACATGGTCCGAGTAGTAGCCAAAAATTATGGTGTCTCTATCCAGTTGAATCAGGTCACAGCTGACACACTGACACTTATGTTGAAACAAGTCATAGAAGACAAGAGGTATGTGGCTCTCTGAGCATGTGGTCACTAAGGCTGAATGAAGATAGAAAACACAAAGGATACTCTCTATTTTTCACAATAATAGCTGAAACTTCTGTGACATGGAATAATATGTGTGTGATGCTAACAGTCCACCTGTTTTCTCTGGTAAGTCTCTAGGAACACTAATTTAGGTTAGATGCTGAGAGTTTATCTGGGAGTACCTCTAGTGGAATTCCAGCTGAAGCAGGGTGTTTCTTTGTGTGTTTCCCCAGTGTGCCTGCTCCTCTCACCTCTGGCTTCTTTGCCTGTGCTGCTCCCTAGGACACCCTTCCCTTCTCTTCACAGGACTGGCTCCTTCATGACATTCGGGTCTCTTCTCCAATGTTTCCTCCACAGAGAGCGTTGTGTCTTTGACAATCCTAACTAGCCTCCTCTCTCACTCAGCCCAATCATAATATATTATTTCCTTCATAACACTTTTCAAGATTTGTAATGACTCCATTTATTTATGTTTTTAGTAATTGTCTGGCCCCTAACACAAGAGAGTAGAGAGTCAGCTTCATAAATACAGCAGTGTGTCTCTCTTTTTTTTCAACTGTGTTCCCAGTTGATCCCACAAAATAAGTTTCCATGAATTTCAGTTAAGTGAGGAAATAAAAGTGGCATAGTGACCTTCTTGGTTACTACCCATCCAGCCAATGATCTTATAATCAAGAAGGACTGAATATCTTATTATGGCTTCAGGAACACAAACCCTGAATCAGGTATATATTCTCTCATATATGGTCATATATATGGTGTTTTTTCCTTTAGTATACCATAAGCATCCTGGGGACATGGACTAGTTCTTAGAGATTTAATCACTTTCCTACAGCTTAACACTTTTAGAATTAATCATTGATCTTTGTATGTGGGTGTTTCTATTGAACTTTTCAAGAGGATTCAGCGAGACGGTGGCAAGGCCATGACAACAAATTTTCTTTGCAGCCCAGCCTTGGTGCATGTGTTAGAAAAGTGTTTGTATGCTTGTGTGTGCGCTCACACAACACAAAGTCTCTAAGACTTGTGAGGCTGTGTCAGTAACACACCCTCTCTGTCTCTGCCAACAGGTACAAGTCAGCAGTGGCGGCAGCTAGTGTCATCCTGCGCTCTCAGCCCCTGAGCCCTGCACAGCGGCTGGTGGGCTGGATTGACCACATCCTCCAGACTCGGGGGGCGGCACACCTCAAGCCCTATGCCTTCCAGCAGCCTTGGCATGAGCAGTACCTCATCGACGTCTTTGTGTTTCTGCTGGGGCTCACTCTGGGCACTGTGTGGCTTTGTGGGAAGCTGCTGGGTGTCGTGGTCAGGTGGCTGCGTGGGGCCAGGAAAGTGAAGAAGACATGAGGCTAGGTGTAGCCTTGGGTGAGGGGAGGGCATCCCTGGTTCTTTGAAGGTTCTCCCCACCCCAGCACAGGCCACCCTGTGTTCTCTCTTCAGCTCCACCTGCCAATGATCCTGCAACTTGCTTCTTTCAATTATCTGCCTCTGTTTAGAAATCTTCATGCACTACTAAGGTTTCTTGACTTGCCCCTTGTGACCTGGAGCCCCCAGCTCAGATACGAACTTTCACCTGCCAGCCCTGCCTCCTCCTTTCTCCCTTTTCCTAGACACAGGACTCTGACAACTTCACCTTTCTTGTTTAGATGACTTCCCAATCTCCAGTCCCCATTTCTCCTTCTATCACTTTTCATAAAAAAAACAGGAAATATTTGACATATCTTCCATTTCAAATTCTTCCATTTTATGCATATATCTTGCCCTTCCTATAAGCTCTCCTCAAAGTTCAGGAAACCTGGTCCGCTCTCCTGCATTTAGGAAAGGAGAACCTCGGCCAAGACCTTTGCTCACTGCCTGAGACCCCTTCCTTAGAGAGCACTTCCTTTGCTGGTCAGACATGGAGCCTGCACTTGGTCCCAGATGATACTGCTTTATTTCAGTTTTTACAGTTTCCTTCTTAAGATTCCCATCTTATAAATGGAGTACAGTAAACCTCAAGTAGCGAAGTGGAAGCCCATGTGTAAGGCTTTGTGGCTTCAGGTACCAGTGGCTAAGGCAGTTTTAAAGACTTCGTTGGTTTTAGAAAAATTCCATCTTCCATCCCCTACATGGTAGTTAATACCGTTATATATGGTAAAACCTTAGAGATGACATTAATCTGCTAGGAACAGAAGCAAGAAAAACCATGGCATAAACAACCCCAGAGTTTTTGTTCGTTCGTTTCATCTTTTTTGATAAAGCCCGAAGGTAGCCCATTCAGGGCTTGTGTGGTTGGTTGCTCCATCATGTCATCAATAACCCATATGTTTTCTTTTTGATCTTCCTTAGTGTAACACCAGACTACCTTTCTGATAGCTGGTGTTCATGAAACATTTTACGTTCAAATGATTGTACCTATTTTTGGCTTTAGAGTTCTGAAATAAAATGAAATTCCACTGTAATAAAACTGTCAAATGTGTGGTATCTGATGACTTAAAAACATAGAGTAGAAAACAGGCATATGGAGTGGCCCTGGATGAACCATAGTTTTAGATTGTTTAATTCTAGAATTGTGAAACAGATCTTGAAACAATTCAGATCAAAAGATGAAACTGTTACAAATGATCCTGCAGAAATAGAGAATGCCCCCCATCAAAACCTTTGCCAGTTCCTTGAAAGGATTTGCTTGGAAGTCTGCAGAGCTGAGTGCTGGATGTCTATGCATTTTGCGAGGTCTCATGACACAAGAGCCAGAAGCATGAAGCATGCAGAAGTACATTAGAGTGTGTGTATCTGTGTGTGTATAATATAAGGTTTTATTGCTGTAATTTTTATGAAACTACATGAATTGATCAATGACAATACTCCAATGAAGGGCAGACATGGAGCCTTCTCTATGTTTTCTTTTGAATCAACAGCCACAGTTTCATTCCCCTCATGAACAACACAAGGTCTTAGGGATAAGCCTCCCTGGCCAGTAACTCCTCTCCCACCTCAGCACATAGCCTTTTTCTAACACTTGGTAATTCATCGAGGTCAGCTTTGTGCCAGTTGTACAAACTTGCATCCCTAAAATCTGATCATAAGCAGCCAATCAGCCAGACTGATGCTTCTAATCTTGTTATTTTCGAGCACCCTCCACAGGGCTGTGAGCATGGCCCTGACAACCTAGAAATCTGGTGTTATCCTTCACTGTTTAAAATCTTTGTTCCCATTGTGTGGAATGTAATGGTCCTGGCTACCAATCTAGGCACACGTGGAGCAGTTCTCCACCTACTCTTTTCCAAATGTTCACTACACCCCCTCAGAACACATTTTGCTGTTTTTAACCTCTGGGCTTTGTCTATGCCCTTCCCTCTCTCAGAAATATCATCCTACTCTTGCTGGACTAAGAAACTTCTGCTTATCTCTCAATATCCAGTGTGATCGTGTTCACATTGGTAAGCCTGTGCCTGACCACTACACCCGAAATGGAGCTCACTGCCTTCTCTTTTGAAGCATTTTTCTTACTACTATATGGCAATTATTTATTACAATATCTGTTTCCTATTTAGAAACCATAAGGTCTTTGTCATAAAGACATGGACTGGTTCCTGTTTATCTTGTTATTACAGAACTGGCATAGTACCTGGAACAAATACTGCTGGGACAACTGGATAATATTTAGAAAAAAGGCAATATTTGATCCAGACTTCACACTATATCAAAAATTGAAATCCAATGCACCAGATATCTAAGTACAAAAAATGATACCATGCTGAGTCTAAGAGAAAAAGTGAATTTTTCCATAGCCTGCGTATAGGGAAAGACTTTCTAAATAGGAATCAAAACTCCTGATACAATAAGAGAAATGTAAATTAATTTGACATAAAAACTTTGGTATGACAAAAATCATGGTAAGAAGATTAACAATCCAAATTAAAAAGTCAGAGAAACATAGCTGCAACATATATCTCACATATAGACCTAATATTTATGATAAACTAAAAACTATTAACACTGAGGAAAGAATCTATGATACATATACATACTGAAATAATATTTAGCTTTAAACTACAATAAAGAAAAGCAGAATAAGCTATGGAGTAAATTCCAATACAGTTAAGTAAAAAGAGCAAAGAGTAAGAGTAACTATAAGATGTATCCTTTTTTTTTCATAAGAAAAGGGAACGTATGTATATGGCGGATAATGAAAAATGTATATCTATGTGCATTGCTTTGCAAAAACAGTGCAGAGGGAACAAACCAGAGTGTGATAGATTATCTATGAGGGTGGTATTTGAATAGGGTGGAAGGATCCATGGGTTTATGTTTTTACATAGTTTGGATTTTGGAAACATTGATACTTTGCATACCAAATATATGTTTAAATTAACAAGGAGAGAAAAACCAAGTACTGAAATACAGATGGAAACAAATGAAATCAATTTTTTTCCAAATGAAAATGTAACTATACTGTAGAAAAAAAATTAACATCATTACCTTTTAAACACAGTACTTTTACTATATACTGTATACAATCAATCAAAAGACAAAAAAGAACTCCAAATGAATCTTGTAGTCTATTGAGTAATTGTATTCTCAGTTGGCAAATTAGTATATCTGAACCTAATTTCTGTGCATATTAGGCTTGAATAAATGCATCAATGACAGTGAGAGTCAGGTTTCTTATTTTGGAAAAAGGAATTAGAGATGTGGGAATGGGGAAGATTAGAATAACCTGTAGTGTTGTATTGGAATTAGAGTTATCAGTATAAATTTATAATTTTCTGTAATACAAATATAAATATAGGTATAGGGAGAGATATAGGTATGTATTCTTTATACTCACATTTATATATGTATATTTCTTAGCTCTGTCCATGGAAGAGGAATTACAAACAATGGTGCTTCATTAACAATGAACACACCTAGCAACATACCTTGTTTCTGAATATCACCCCTCACTAAAAGGTTTCCTTGAGAAATTGTAGGTTCTAAAATTGGGACAGGGAAAGTGCAAGATAACCCTAGAGCATCATGTGCAAGAAAGAAATAAAAAGCTAAAAAATAATGGAGCTTTCACAGGAGCAACACAATGAACAATGATAGTAATAGGTTATATCTTACTGAATAAATAAGAATTTAAGAGACAATACTGATAATAAATAAATAGATTAGATAGATAGATAGGATCGAAGATAAATGTTAAACAAAATGTGATATAAAACATAGAAGGGATGTTAGAGATTAAAAAGCATTAATTTGCCACCATCATTATGATAATTGATTCAGACAAGAATCCTAAAGGATGATAAAATGTGAGTGGAAGTTTGATAAGGAAGAGGATGCTTACACAGTTTCAAAATAGCTCCACACAAATTAATTACTAATTATATGGGGAAATAGTAACTTTACAGTTGAGAATGTTGGTGGACATGACCTTAGCCAAATGATCGAAGCCAGTATCATGAATAATGGGACCATCTCAGGTCATGTGGCTCCTACTGTGATTCACTGAGATAGAGATGATGTACCTTTGTAGCATTTTAAGCAAAACTCCACAACACAAAGTATAATGAAAAATCATCAGATAAATCCAAACTGATAACCATTCTACAAAACAAATGGCCTGTATATTTCAAAATGTCAGTGACATCAAATATGAAGAAAGGCTCAGAAATCAGTCTTTATTGAAGGGAGTGAAATCTTCAGGATAATCAAATGCCCTGCATAATCCTGGATTAAGTTTTGCACTATAAAAATAATATTACCACATGCGACATTTGATGTTAGTGGGACAATTGGCCAAATTTGACTAAGGTCTAAAGATAATGTTATTATATCCATGTTAAATGGTACCTTCATAATGAAGATTGTTTACTGGGAGGCTACAATATCTGAAATATAGTAATTGTCAACATGTATGCATGTAATGCCATGGTTTCAAAGAGTATAGCACAAGAATGCATAGAACTACAAGAAAAAATTGAATAATGTGAAGAGACTTTTAAAAGCTTTCCAATGAAAATTTCTAACATTTATAAATGCAGTACTTAGTGTCTCCCATCCAGCCTCAATGATTACTAACTCCTGGCTGATACAGTTTGTCTCTGTGTCCCCACTCAAATCTCATATTGCATTGTAATCCCCAGTTTTGGAGAAGGGACCTGGTGGGAGGGTGATTGAATCATGGGGGCTGATTTCCCCCTTGCTATTCTCATGACAGTGAATGACTTCTCACAAGATCTGGTTGTTTGAAAGTGTGTAGCACTTCCTCCTTCTCTCTCTCTCTCTCTCTCTCTCTGTCTCTCTCTCTCGATGCTCTAGCCCCGTGAGACGTGCCAGCTTCCCCTTCACCTTCCCCCTTTACTGTAAGTTTCCTGAGCACCCCCAGCCATGCTTCCTGTAATAGCTGTGGAACCTTGAGCCAATTAAACCTCTTTTCTTTCTAAATTACCCAGTTGCAAGTAGTTCTTTATAGCAGTGTGAGAATGGACTACTATGTTGGCCAACTTTCTTTATACTTTCGGTGCCCCCACTCATTTTCCATTCCTTGTCACCCAAATAATTTTGAAGCAAATTCCAGATATCATAGCATTTCATCCGTAAATATTTCAGAATGTATCTCTGAGAGTCTCCCTTTTTCCATACCACAATAACATTATAACACATCCCCAAATCAACAGTAACCTCTTAATATCAAATATTCATTGTTCAGAACTCTCTGATAGGGATATGAGATTTGTAAGAGTTCAGTTGGATCACCCTGATACCCCACCCTTCATGTGTCCTTCCCTGTTATTTATTACTAACACACCACATATTTGATTTATTTATTTTGTTATCACTTGACTCCCCAACAAGGATGTAAGTTCTGGGAGGCAGGTGTTTTTGTCTCTGTTGTTCAATGCACTCTGTGCAGCAGCAGAACAGTGCCTCACAGATACTTACCTATTAGTATGATTGTTGAGTTAATGAATAAGTTTAGGATGAAAAAACAAATTCTCTGTTTGCTAATGCATTATTGGAGGTCCAAAAATAATAAACGGGCTGGAGCCTTGTGACGCCTGGTAAAGACCTGCCCCTGCCCTTTGCACCAACTCCTCAGTGACCAATGAACATGGCTATGTTGCAGAAATGTCTAAGGATGCAGTACTTTAAATTCAGTTTTTTTTTTTTTTTAAAGGCGTATGGACAGAAAACATGTAATAGTGCAAAGCAAAATTCAAGGATCCACTTCATCTTGCAGGCATTGAAGGACTTTTTCTGTCAGTTTGTTGTTTGTTTGTTTGTTTTTTAGATAGAGGATCTCAATACATTGCTTAGGCTGGCCTCAAACTCCTGGGCTACAGCCATCCTTGTGCCTAAGCTTCCTGAATAGCTGGGATGACAGGTGCATGCCACTGTGCCTGGCTCTGCCTGTTTGAGAATTGCACTGAAATCCTTTATTAAAGGCAGCATTATATTGAGGATAGGGAATGCAAAGATGATATTT